CCTATCTTTTGTGATGTCTCAGAAAGTTGTTGTGAAGTGATGGCTTGCATTAGACATCCTGAAAAACTCAGAAATGCCCGTTGTCGTCTTATTATGGTGAAAGCTATGGTAGCATCTCTTAAATTTCTGACAATGCCAAGCCTTGAACTGATTGCAGCCATCTCGGCCTCCCACGTGGTTTTTTCATTAAAGTTAGCAATGGATGTTATTTCTTTAGAGGTGACATGTCAAAGTGACTCCAAAATTGTCTTGAACTACATTACCAATGGAAATCATCTACATAAAACATTCGTGGCTGATCTGGTTTTGACGATTCATGACTTCGCTGAGGCTTCCCATTGGAGACACGTGCCCTGAGAAGGGAATGTTGCATATTTATTGTCTCATGGGATGGTCTCTATAGATGAATAACTTAAGATGTGGTGCGGAAACCCGTCACCCCTAAATTGTGCCAAGGCCCAATGACCAGTGTCGGATATCACCATGAAACTAGACAAATAGAGATAAAGACTACAACTGTAGTAGGTGTCACCATTGTCCACTCTGGCTCAGATAGAGATCTCTATTACTTCTCAGATTGTCGAGAGCAGTGGCTTAAATGACTAGGTTTAAATTCTGCGTGTCCATAATGCGTTGTAACAGAATTAACACATCTTTTAACTTGGACCCACTGAAAGCAGATGAACTACAAGAATAAATCAGGTGGTAAAATTTAGGAAGGGACTTAAGTTTCTAATTGCATCTGGTAGTTCAAGATTACTAACATTTAGCTCACGCCAGCACAGACTTCGTCCTATCTTGATAAACGGCTTGATTTGTGCAGATGTTCGATTACAAAACGTGTCATGGCCAAATAAACAGAAGCAACCAGTAGTACTGCCTTCGAGACATCATGTCACGGAAGTGATTCCAAGACATTACTACAACATATAGGTGTTACACAGGTACTGGCAAATGTTAGGTAATAGTTTCGGATATTATGAAGAGGTATAGCAGTGAGGAACTGCATGAGGTGTGAGAAACGCTAAGCCAGAGTGTCAGCTGATAGCACCCATGCCCTATGGCTAGAGTTGAGATGGACAGCTACGGGACCACTAGAGCAATTTGGTAGGAGCGGAGAGAGAATTAGACTGGTGCCTAATGAATAAAAAACAAGAGAAGATATTAGCTTACTGAATGGAGGTACAGATAAGCATTTCAACCCACCGACTGCAAGCCATTGGGGTGGTAATTGGGAACATATGATTTGTACTGTACGTGGGGTTTTAGGCGAACTAATTAATGAACAGCCATTGGCTGATGAAAGCCGCATGGCTTTATTGATACTGAAACCAAATGTATAACATATCTCTAGTTTTACTGTACTCAGACATTGACGAACTCCAAGTATTAACACCTACTAGGCTGCTATTACTAATGGACAACTGGTAAAGTAATAGTGTAACTTGTCCCAGTTATAAGTCCTTCACAAGGTGCAGATAGGTGAACTACTTAGCAGACATGTTTTGGAAACGTTGATCCAATGAACATATCTCCGTATTAGAACAGCGACAACAATGGATGGAAATAAGAAAGAGTTTGCAGGCTGGAGGTTTAGTTATCGTAGTATCAGACATTACTGGAAAAATCGAATGTCCACTCAGACTTGTGCAATGGGTGCTGCTTAGTAAAGATGGCTTACGAGAGGAGTGAATTCAAGCTTTATTTTTATGTAATTAAAATAGCAACTCATTGATGCCCGTACGACTGATATGTTTTTGCATAGAGAGGAATAAATACACATACATTAAATACTACTAATAGTTATGAAATAATTGAAACACGCTGAGGTCTCCACTCGAAATCCTAATGACTTTTACTACGACGAGTTTTCATCCTCTACATGGTTCTAAAGAATACGCCTGTGCATATCTTGGTCTAATTCGATATTTAATTTATGATAAAGATGATTCCCTTGAACTGGCTTTCCCGATGTACAAACAAATGAGAATGTCGATAGAGAAAGAAAGACGAAATTCGCAGTATAAAATGATATCATCCTATTTCACAGGTTCTCATTATCTGCAGACTACCTGAAATTACAATACTTATATAGATGAAAATAACATACTTTAATGTTTGAGTGGTAGTACAGAAGGGATACTATAAAATTGACGCATCCGAAATGAAAGCATTACAACTTTCAGTTTAAGTTTTCATCATCAATTTATACGCTTTCAAAGTTGAAAAGAGGGAGAGCGGTAAGACAGAAAAAACAATTAACAGAACAGTGTTAGCTCGTAGGTTCACATAGCAATTCAAAAAAACAAAAGCGGTTACAGTTTATGAGGTCAAGATTTGTTCAGTGAGTTGAGATCACTGAATTAGATGACCAATTGTAATCAGAATCAAAATTCAGTTACTAAGGCAGTGAGAGTGTGATTAACATCTCAGTCCCTTTGTAACTGAATTTTGTTTTTTGGAGTTGCTATGTGAACCTATAAGCTGACATTGTTCTGTCAATCATTTTTTTTTCTGTCTTACTCTTCCCCCTCTTTTCAACTTTAAAAGTGTATAAATTGATGATGAAAACTTAAACTAAAATTGTAATGCTTTCATTTTGAATGCGTCAATTTGATCTCTTCTTTAGTCATTCAAACATTAAAGTATGTTATTATCATTGATATAACCATTGTAATTTCAGGTAGTCTGCAGATGATGAGAACCTGTGAAATAGGATGATATCATTTTATACTGCAAATTTCGTCTTTCTTTCTTTACCAAAATTTACCAAGGGAACCAATTGTATTAAGTGAGAATGTATTAGATAGTTGGAGGCGGTCGGCCACAAGAAGCCTTGGACCCAGGTTTCGTGCTAGTTGGCACTCGTCAGTAAGGCGTATCTGCAACTTCGAAGTAACTCATGTCGCTTCTGAGATTCGAACCCACGTCACTCGGTGCTGCAGTCACAGATGTTGCCACTGAGCTATTCGGGCTCGCGATTGGCCTCCTGTAGGAATGTATTGGATACTTTTGATTGGACACTAGTAACTAGTGTGGCGTATCTATTTCGTTTTTTGATGCACACTGCATTCCATCAATCACGTTCGCAATGTGGCCACCATTCTAGGTAGCTCTCCATCACGGTGCACATTGATTTGATGATATTAGATAGTTGGAGGCAATCGGTAGGAAGTCTTGGACCTAGTACGTATTTCTAGCAGGACAGATAGTCGCATAACAACAACGAACGCTACTTCTAGTTGGGACGAACAATTAAACACGATCAGAAATGTTATGCATAATGTAGTCATGCAGTCTCCTAGAAGTTACTAGGTTCTAATTTTTCCGCTCGCTCTTTGAAATATCTTACTGTAGACATGTTTCAGTTATAGTTTGTCTACGGTAATATTAACCTAATGAAGTACTCTAAGAATCTACAGACTGTCTATCTCTCTCTACTGTGAGATCATAATTTTGCGAAGCTCTGAGTTTGTAGAGGCTGATGTTGTTTGAATAGGGGGCGACTTTCTACACGTACTTCACCAAACAAGAAGGTCCTAACTTTCTTTTGGAAAATCAAGAGTCCTTAAAACAAGAGATAAGTGTTAATGAAACACAGAGTAGCTGGTGCTAGTAGTTTTCATAAAAACCACTCAACTGACCTATTTATTCTAGAAGGAAATTTGAAGACATTTAGACACTAAATAAAACGTCAAAGCTTAAACTTTGATTTTCACTAAACCGTTGACAGTATGCAAAATATAATTAACACATCATTTTCTGTTAACTAATGGGAATTCAAAGAAAAATTCCATAGGAAAAGGGAAAATTAAAATATTGCTCAGCATTGTACGAATAAGTGAGCGACTTTAATTACGTCATGATGCGAAAATTAATTAGAAATGTAAATATTAAACACAAAAACACCACGATATTAAAGGAAGGATAAGTGGATGATGAGAAACACATGCAGAGTGTGCATATCTACAAAACAACTAATATGAGACATATGGAAAAATGTCAACAAAGAAATTTGAGTGAAACCAGATAGAGTAAACATGAGGAACACTAAAACAATGGCAGAGAACAAGAACATCAACAAATAATAGTGAGAAAGAATAACAACTGAAGCGGTCAGACAAAAAACAACGACAAAGACACTCACACCATGAGAGTACATGGATCCAGGATACAGCATTTAAACAGAATCCTTAGTGCACTGTCAAATAACTGACTGACCACTTCTTTTTACAAACGACACGGCACTCACTATGTCCAAGGAACATGGCGCTACATGAACTAAACCAAACTGCAATCAAAGATGTGTTGATCGCTTGATGATCTAAAGACTTCTCACAAACACTGAAACAATAGTGACTTCAATTAAGACCTATGTAGATAAAAAAAATGGATGACTATTTCACCACACTGATTTACCAAGTTATATCAAATCAATTTCAACAAGTTCTGTATCTTATTTTCACACGATTATGATCTGATCAATATACAAACCCCACCATGATTACTGTGTTCCTATTGCAGCTATACGACACAATCAAAATTCAATGTCTGTTAGTCAGTGGACGGCAAAGAATATCTCTGCTACATTCAAGGTCTGTTAATCCATACACAACATTTGCTCAGGTGAACACAAATTCTTCATGCTGTGATTTATTATTTACAACATATTCTAATACAATTTCTCCGGAATGATGCACGTTTCCCAGAATACCCAGAAGTTTGCGAGAGAATCAGGGAAAGTTTGTGCATACTTCTCTCCACCTTACAAACAATACATTTCTTTTATGGATAATTTGAGGAAATTTCATCTGGAAAAAAGGTATATAATTCTAACAGTCCAGGAAATCTGGTCTTCAACTTGAGTCAGATATAAATTTACAGGCATGAAGTTACTACAAATCTTCTTTTTATACTATTCAAAAAGGATTGTACAAAGGATGAAAGATAGATAAGAAAGTATAACAACATTTGAATACAATGTTCTCAGTTAACCATGCTCAATACCAGTAAGTTGGCGTTGGCTCAGCTGGTGAATGCTCAAGTCCTAAATGCTTCGATACGCTTACATCAAAGCGCATATCAGAATCTGTAAGGACTGTTTTATTCGATACATCTGATTCTCTAGTATCTTTCGGTCCGTCAACAGCTGTTTTCGGGTCGGTTAGGTCGTCCAAAATATGAGATGTGTTCGGTAAAGGTATTATGTGACCGGAATATAGTGAGACACGAACACGATCACCATCATCAGTGTACCGCCAAGCGCATTTGCAAGGTTCATTATTAGACGGATCGAGCAGCGCAACCTGGTGGTAACAAAAATAAAAACGAACCATTTGATAGGGGACATAATGAAAACACAAAATGTTGGACAGCTCTACGATGAATTGGCTTTCAACATCTTCTCAGTTTACGCTGGTCATTAATTTATCAATCTATTTTTCCATACAGATACAGTGTATATGACTATCTCAGAAACACTAGCAAGTGAGCGGAAAATGTACCTTCTGCGTCTCTGCTTTGTAACTAGTGTTTACAGTTGGACACAAATACAGATAACAATTGACTGCATTGCACGGGGATTTCGGTCTATCCTAAAAACTAACAAAAAAGTTTTGTATGCTGTTCAACACTTTTCCAAATTGTATTGTGGTGAGAGCTGGCTGCTAGCCAAATTAGTACACAGTAAATTTAATTTAATTTTATGTCCCAAATATTGGTTATGTAAAAACAAGACCAAAGACTGGTCCAAAAATCAATCACAGCAGACTTTACGTAGGCGGATACAATTAGCAGATAGATAATCTGAACTTCAATAAACGGCCGCAAAGATATGAAAGATTGACGTTCAGCGAGAAACCACCAATCAGAAGACTGTCTTTGTCTGTCTAGAATAAACTATAATAATGTACATTAAAATTTAAATATCTGCTGATTTCCTGAATAAACGATCTGTTTCCTGACCCTTGTCTTCTGTTGTTACAGTATCAATCTAGGATGAAAACAAATTCAAATGAATTGATTCTCTGTCAACATATTTACGAATAACGAGTCATTAGTCGCGATTTCCATACGCAAATTGTCTACATTTTTTCCTGTATACGATGAAGGTCTTCAACTATATTTATGAAAAGAATATGCGAAATTAAAATGAAAATTTTCCAAAAGAAATGCTACGTGTGGCTCACCTCAGTATCCATATCCAGAGGGTCTTCACTCAGTTTTAAGCTGTTTTGGTATGGGGATTTAGTGATACGATAGTTAAGTCCTTCTACATATACCAGGCGCCTCATTTTTAGAACAGATGATACTATACCGGTCTGGAAAGAAACATAATAAAGTTAAACTAACAGAAAATGATTGATTTCTGTTTGTATGAAATATGTGATGATAAAGTAAGTCACTTCCGGAGAGTATAAGTGTACTACAATGGAAATTCACTTTATTTCAATTTTTCAAACATTCGAATTAGAACTCATGATAAGTCTGCTATATTCTCAAGAAGACTCAGAACATAGACCGTACAATTAGGCGTGTTTGTCATCGGTTTTTTGAACATCATCTTGAATAGTTAAGTAATGGAGAAACAAAGCCCATTCGGTAGTTCTTTTCTGTCTCATCTCGTAGATACATAACACACAATTGATGTAAACAAGACCTTCAGAGTCATCTGATGTATACCAAATAATTTTAATTTTACCTCAAGAGTTCATCTACTACATACTACTGGGGTTGTTAGGATCCACATTAAGAAACCTAACTTATGTATCCAAAAGAAGTTGGTTCATACACTCTCCTTACCTTGGCCATTAAGGTTTTGATGATCCTCAATATGTTGTTGTTGTGGGAATTCCCTTAATTTTATTTGTTGTTGTATTTGCTATTACATTTCTATACTTACTATAATTTATGCATCTTTAGTGAACTGTAATTCCGTTGAACTTACTTAACAAATTGTTAGCATTTAAAAACACCAGTGTTGTTAATGACCACTATTCTAGAATATTCTATGTATAAACATATACATAATTGTACAGCCAGAAGAGGAAATTATCGAAATGAATATTCTTCGCTCAATTTAAAAAAAATAATTATGTTACAAAGTCAGAGCTTGTTTATACTAAATGCATTTTTATAATATTAAGAGTCTATTCGATGTCTTCTGAAGAAGAATATTATCAACACACTTGCAGAACTAAGGGATTTTTGGAACAAAATTCGGTTAGTTGATGAGGTAAGCAATTACGCAAGAAACCACTAAAATTATTTCTCAATTAACATCAGGGTAGGACTTCATTCCGTTTACTAGTCGACTAGTTTAGCAGCCGGTCCTAAGTTCATAAAAAGAGGGATAGTTGTGTTTGCGGCTAGCGATGTTAGCCTAGAAAATCGACCCAATCGCTACAGAAACCTCAATGAACACAAAAATATTAAAAAAAAAGAAACATACTTCGCTGGAATCGGAGAAACGAAATCACACTGAGGAAATCTGTGTGGAAAAACGTTGGATTTCGGAGGAAACTTGTATAGCCCTTTAAGTAAGGAAGAAGAGACAACAATAGGAATGACTCTCTGAGGACATATGGAAGCTAACAGAGGACAGAGGGATGGTGAAACAGAAGAAGAAGCAGTGCAGATATTGTCAACGAAAAGAGCTGAATGTACAATGCATAGAATAAAGAAGTAAAGAAGAGTGCTAGGAGAGAAAAAAGACGTTTCTACACAATGGTAACTGCAGCAGAACAGGCCACAAATGAGAGGGAGTTCAGAACACTATTCTAGAATAGATCGACGAAGATGGAACCAGTGAAAGATAGTGAAGATGACTAAATTACCGATTATCTTGAATGAAATGCGCTCGATGTGAGTGCAGATTTCAAGGTAGCGTTACATGAATCTAGTGAACTCCCCAATGCTTCTCCATCCACGTAGAATTTGAATTGCACATCTTAGTTACATAGAAGTAGAAGATACGGCGTAGCAGCCGTCGTTAATGGGTATCTTCTAAGCATTAACAGATATAATCTATCGTTTCTGGAAGAGGAATGCTCGTAAACACCGACTGTATGTCATAAATTTTCTGGATATATTAATTTGTTCCATTTTTTAAAATACGAAATCAAACGAGCCACTAAAGGTGTATTTCGATAATTTTTCGCGAACATTTTCTAGCTCCTGTGCTAACCCACGAGATAGTTGGGAGGAAGATGAATTGATTATAAACAGGATAGGTCTCATCGGTATGTTATCCTCATGTGTTTTCGGTGTTGCCTACATAAAATGTAAGACAAGTCCTTTGGGTCTGAGTTCGCGTTTGATTGTCTTTCAAGTTTAGTTTTCAAGAGTTTCCTAAGCTCTTTTGTGATTCCTCTTTTCCTTTATTCATTTTCGAGATGTAGTCTTCTGTATTCATTGTCATCAACCTTGAACTCTTGTTAGGTCAAAATATACTAGTATTTTTGTTGTTTTTTAATTCTCTTAAGGCTGATTGATACTCTTGAGTGAGAGGTTTAGACTGAGGAAGTACAAATACATAGAGCTGGTTAGCAATATCCACCAATTCGGATTTTAACCATCCTTTTTTTATCTTCATCAGTGTGTTGGGGATTGCTGAATTGCTGAAATAAATTCTTAGATTGAGATTCCGTCTACTCTGCCAGTCTTTTATAGAATATGTAACCGGAGTTCAACAGAAAGAGCTCCATTTTGAAGTTGGTTTAATTGAGTGTTTGAAAAGTTGTAAACATATTTATCTAGGTTTTCTGTATTTTTCTCGTAAGTCTGTTCCATAACTAACGATTTTGAGATATTCAGAAAAAAAACTGGTGATGGTCTCTCAAATTGATTATTCTAACTTTTTGTACACTTTATACATCCCTATTTTTGGCCTGTTATTTTTCTCCTATAATAAAATGAACCGGCTATTCACTTAAAGTATGTTTAAATTACTTTATATTCATTGTTTATATGGTTTATTATTCACATTGTATATAGCTGATGCAAATCCTATGAAATAAAACAAATTCATCTGATCCTGTAAAAGCTGTTCGTATTGGATTATTCAAGTATGTAGTATGGTTGACTAATACAGGTTTCTACTTGAGCCAGAATACATTTATGAATGAATGGAACCATAATTAAGCATTTACAAAAACCAGAATAAGAGGACTTACTCTTCCTTTATGAGGTCCAACAAGTACTCGGACACGATCACCCTTGAAAATTAATTGCTCCTCTGGTGGCAAAGGTCGTAATTTTCGTGCCTCTTTTCGGCCATTTTCATGAATAACACACCAGGTTAAATTAGGATATGGAAACTCTGATAAACGGTTGGCAATATTCCAAGGAGCCTTTTCAGTGAAGTGCCATACTGGGAGAAATTTTTCTTCCCTCGACTGAAAGCAATATTACATAAACATAAAATATCTATTATCTCAGAAATATATTTACAATATAAATTTGTTATCTAACTTATCTTTTTATTGCTTAGCAAGACGTGAAGGAATAATTGAAACAAAAAATTTTAGGACCTCCAAATAATAGTTAGCTCTACAAAAAATAACTGATTTACGAGCTGAGGCTGACTACTGGAATGAAAATACGTATATTCCGATAGTTGAGGTGTTATGTTACTGGAACCAAACCCCGGTGAGTGGGTACTACTGAAGAGTCCCAAACTAGGACGAAACCGCTGTCCACTACTTCCAGGTTTTCCAGTAGTTCTCTAACTGATGTCAGCTCATGATGAAATCCTCCATGCAATCAAACAAAATCCGTACAAAAACCAATACCTGAAAACTTCATTATGTTTTACTATGCAGGCGAAGGAGTTGCCCATTTTCACAAACAACTTAAACAACAAGTTATCTTACCCAATTCATTTATTTCTGAAATTTCACTTTCATGGGAAAGTTCAAAATTCATGCATAATCAGTTATCAACATCTAGCCTTCAATTTCATTCAGACTACCCAACCCATTGCTCTAATAGAATAAACAGCTCTAAAAGCATGATTAAGTCCCTGTCCAGTTTTCCGGATGGGACAAAAAGAGATGAATGAAAACCTCCTAACAAAATAAAAATAGGACGATTTACTTGGTAATGTATCATATTGATGACCGGTTATAACCGGTTGTCTTAAATCCGTTGCCAGTTCAGTTTCAACGATTACAATCGTCATCACCGTATTTACACACACAAAAATCTTAGTAAGATTATAGAGAACCAAAAAACTACTTGATTTTTGACTTTTTCCAATAGTTCAACCGATGAATTTCGTATATCTGTCTGTCTCTGTCTGGATTCAACATAGAACTTGGCACCGAAGTGCAGCAGTTCGAGTTGCCACGTTCCAAATAGCACACAAAGGTAGACAAGAAGATGATTGGAGAGAACTGATAGAGTTTGACAAGTATAAGAGTGAAACAGAATGGGTAATGGTAAAAAGGAATATGAAAGATTACAGAGACTGAATACATCTGCGCCACTGACAACGATTTTGAGCCATGTCACCTATTATATATATATATATATATATATCTGGAGAGAGAGAGAGAGAGATTCGTATATATCAGTCAATTTGTGTCATTGATTTAACATGAATTCCAAACATTTTCTATTCGCTCAGGAATGAAGTCTTAGGTTTCGATGTTAAACAAACAAACTTCATATTACCTGGGAGATAATAAATCTTAACAAACCTACAGATACAACTAGACATAAACTATGAGTCTACGCAAAATGTAGATTAGGCTTTGCTTACTGATTAGAATACCTAACACACAACGTAAATGACAAAAAATCGCAGTAGGTCACTAAGAATTGATTCACGATTATAACTATGGAAATTACATATTTATAGAGATATAAAAAACCCTCAAGTTTGGTGTTCTCATCAATAAGTACTTACTTCATTAGGTAGTGGATCACCTGTTTGATACATGTGATCCGTTTGAAAACGCCAGCCCAACAATTCTTTTCGATAAACGGGTCGCATTCTAATTAAACGGCACACATAACGTGGCCAGTATTGAAATTTATGAATAGGATTCTATAAAAAAGCAAATTATTAAACGCAGTTTCATATATGATTTAATTAAAAACACTGAATGTGAACAGTCATTATAAAGTACTAAATAATTCCTTTACTCCTGTGAATACCAATTTCTGCAATCACACTAGACTGTTTGAAATTAGTTACCCAAAACAGATCTTTTATGTGCCAGGACAGGGGCCACATTTATTGAATGAGGGCTGGTGATACTACTGATTCGCCTAAACTGAAGTAGGTAGAATGGGTTCCGAACTAAGGCCCTATTGACACAAACTCAGCTACTTTAGTCAATCAGCTACATCTCTTCACACCAGATAAGCAATATTAACGACGTTATTAGCATTAAAACTACGTTTTTTTTTACATAACGCCACCGAATGCTTTCAGAGACTAAGAAAAACAAGAAATTGGACTTTAATGTTAAGAATTACACATTTACTCAAGTCTTAAGCCATATGAATGAAATTCACTTCCCATTGGTATTTTAAGTGTTACTCCGCCACAGCACAGGCTAGGAAATTCAAGCAATCCGTTAGTTTGTCACACATAAAATGACTTCATTTGAGACATGCGTATTCATACAATATGAATTAAACAATCATGTTTTCTTCCTTAAACATCAAGAATTCATAAAATGCCACAAGACTATCAGAAATCAAACATTATCCTAAATAATAAACTCTTAAGACCTGGGTCTGTTATCTTTAATTTTAGACCAAAGAAACAGATCACTTGTGCGTGACAAGATGACACTACTAAAATAGTATTGAAATGTACTTCACATGAAGTTAAGTCGCACAGTTCAAACATTAACGGCAGTTATAAAGAACAGCATTTGTTCTTTCACTTAATTAATGAATGTATGTTATTGCTAAAAACCATTTCGAGCCATATTTTACAAATTTCTGAGTGTCCAAATCTCAGCTGCGCTGAACAGTATTCATTGACTTCACACATTGACACAGAACCACCCTTCATTTTCGGTTACATCAATTCTAATTCTGCCAAAGTAGTAACGCTGAAGATATGTAGATGTGTGAAACGCACGTCCCAGATATATTTTGCAGGGATCATTAGTACAGGCTACAGAGCAAGTTAGTATTGGTTTGTCATTAGAGAGAAAGAAAATCTAAAGCTAATGACCGAACAGTACTTGAAACCTGATGGCCGCGTAGGCGACAGGCATCACCTAGCTGGCCAGGCGGTAAAAGCTTTCAACTTCAGAATGTATCTGAAAATGATAAAGGATTTGGTGCGCACCTAGTCAGTACCTACTTGTGATTTGTTACACACGTTAGAAGACATAACAAATTATATCATATTCGGGCATAAGAGGTTTATCTCTTTCCCAGTAACGGACATCCATAATTTTTCTGAGTGCAAGGTTTTTTCTGCTGATTTATTCTAGGCCCACCTACATTAGAATTACTAACCATCACCTTACAATTGTTACAAGCCTTTTACAAGCGAAGCTTTGCCCTCTAACTCCCACTATAGCACAAACCATTTCTTTTATGATGCAAAATGCTTCCAGCCTAACGACTACCAATGACCCTTTATAAAAAATACAGAAAAACCTACGGAAACAATTATTTCGGCCAATATAACTTCTCGAATCATTGTAACAAGCAAACCTGACCCCCACATCAGGAGGGAAGCAACCTATTGGGATATTAAATAAAGACCAACCACGAGTTCTACGCACTAACCCTTTACGAACACCACTCACTTAGAAGTAATGTTAATTAATTTCTGTGTGAATTTTTCTTAAGAATTATTATTTCCTTACAGATTTGAACAGTCACCAACTGAAAGGAGATCACATGGTGATAAAAGATAAGCAGCCTACTGCCCAAAATATATATGGAAGAAAATAGAGGTGAATTGAAATTACGCTGAGGAAACCTTCAAGTGACATCACATATCAGAACCTTGAGTGGAACCCTAACAAGAAGAGACGGGTTGAGTATCCGAGAGTAAAACGCAAAAGATCATGTGAATGAGAAATGCAAGCTTGTGAACAGTCATGGAAAGAGTTGAAGATGATAGCAGAGAATGTAAGGAACGAATAGCAGTACGCAACAATAGCTTAGAACAGTGTTTGAAACTAATTAAAGAGAATTATTACGCATCACTGGACACAGTTCATTCAGAGATCCTCTAGAAAATGATGGATAAATGGCGTTTTACTCTAGTAATTAAGGGATTTTATGGTAGGCAGTATGTACTCTGACTAGAAAAGGTATATAATGTTACTAGGAGTTTTCTGGTTTAAAGATTTGATTTATTATATATCTTAACACCACTGGAGGACTGTTTTTTTCACGGATGCTCAGTCGTGTCTACATTTCAGCTTAAATCCTTGAAAAAATATGTGGAAATTGTCTTCAAAAACCCAGTCTCGTTACATGAACACATTTAAGATGCAGTCCTCCAAATTTTTTTGACACAATGATTGTGACTGATTTCCCTAGTGCGAATAGTATAAATATACACACCAGTAACTTATTTGTGGTATTCAGTTTCTTGGGTAGCAAAATTCAGAAAAGTCACCAACAAAACCAGTAAACAATATGCACCTTCAATATGTCACTTAAACATAGAAAAAAAAGGAATGTCATCACGCCACAACATACAATAAGATGCATATCCTACTTTGTGTAAACGCTGATGTTTACATTTTGACAAACAGACAATTTTAAAAAGGAAAAAGAAATCAAAGTTTTATTTAATTTTTAAAAAAAAGCATAAAACAGAATAGAAGACAGTCACTGAGAGTATTTGTTTTAAATAAAATGTACTGTTTATCGGGCGATAAAATGAAGCAGAAGTTGTAATTTCAAGTGGACAACTGATATAAAATCTATATTACTGATAAATTGAAATGAAGCAGTACACCATTGGGCGAAGCTTATTAGAACGTATAGGCTAGGTTACTGTGAATAACTGAACTTCCGTATGCACTGTTTAAAAGAATCTACACGCGAAGGTACAGAATCCTGTAAATAAACAAACAGAGAGAATCAATAAAATTTAACCTAATTGAAAAACAAGTGAGAATAAGGCAGTAGAAACAAAGTAACTCAATTACACTCTTTTTAATTTATTCAGCGATGATGAATCAGTGATTGAAAGCTTTTAAGAATATAACTTATGAGGTGATGAGATATCCTTTTTTATGTTCGTAGTTGTGCACATTACTACAATTAATAATAATAATTTTTCCTTCACGTTCCCCAGTGGAACATACGGCTTCAAGCCAGTGGCTCGAAGTTTCTGTAGCAGTGCTTATTTTACAGAATGGGGTTGCTAGCCTCATGCCCAACCTTTCCTCTTTACCAGCATTATGTCTGGATTAGCGAGGTAAAGGAGTACGTCGACCGGGTATCGAATCCCGGACCATGTGCATGGTAGGCGAGCATCCTAACCGCTACGCCACCGACGCACATGTGAACATTACTAACCTTCACTAAATCATTGTCACATGTGTTTGTCCTGAGTTATTTTTATTTCAGTGTGCTGTAGGAAATATTTGACTATTTATTTGACTATATACCTTTGTGAATCTGCAATAGTTCGTATGAATGTCTAACGCATGAGCTAATCACCTCTATCTTCAAAAACATTACGAAAAATTACTTGAAAATGTGTGTCAGTCGTTTTTTTACGAAAATGAGGAATTTCTTGACTATTCACAACATTGACAAATAAACTGAACCTAAGAAACTAAATATAATAAGTGATTAAGATATCCAATGCAACTAAAGAAAAATTTTCTTCCACAAGTATTAACTCTTCATACATAGTGCACTGTTAACAGACGCTAACAAACAAGTTGAAATAAGGAATTATATGTTTCGATATTTACGTTTAGGTGTAGTTTTGTGAAAATCAAGGCAATCGAAAAACGCATTGTGTTTAATGTGGTTCTGTCTGTCTGTCTGTTTTCGACATAGAACTTTGCACAAATGTGCGGAAGTTCAAGTCGCCACATTCCGTGTAGCACGCGAAGAAAGAGAAGAAAGTACAAGAAAAGCATAATAGAAACAGTGAGCAGAGGTGTGAGACAAAGCAGTAATAATGTGGTTATGGTTTAATGTGGTTATTTTTCTAAGATCATAGTTGGACTTAAGGAACTAAAGTAATGTGTAGGACTTTTGCAAAATGAAGTTGTCTTCTTTAAATTTTTGTATCGCTCAAATAATAAAAACCGACTTTATAATTTTACGAGTTGATCACGGATTGATATCAGTTAGAGAACCATTGAAAATCAGGGAGTACTGGACAGCTGTTGTTTCATCCTAGTTTGGGAATCATCGGCAGTACGCACCCACTGGGTTTCGAACCCAGGACCTTCCGGTTACAAGGCAAGCTCGTATACCATTCAGCCACTGGGACCCGATTCAATGGCTCGTGAATTCTAACTTCTACCAATTCGTGATTTAGCGCGACCCCAACCATTGTCGTTGGTGGGACATCCATCCACACACGTGACATCTAATTGGACCTCACTGGTCACGACTTCTCACTAGAACTCAGGAAACTCCAACCTGTAGCAAGTCACTAGCGAGCATCAGATTAACTTTCTATAGTTTTGGTTTGTAAGGATTAGTTATGTTTTACGAGTTGATCACGGATTGATATCAGTTAGAGAACTCGTAAAACATAACTAATCCTTACAAACCAAAACTATAGAAAGTTAATCTGATGCTCGCTAGTGACTTGCTACAGGTTGGAGTTTCCTGAGTTCTAGTGAGAAGTCGTGACCAGTGAGGTCCAATTAGATGTCACGTGTGTGGATGGATGTCCCACCAACGACAATGGTTGGGGTCGCGCTAAATCACGAATTGGTAGAAGTTAGAATTCACGAGCCATTGAATCAGGTCCCAGTGGCTGAATGGTATACGAGCTTGCCTTGTAACCGGAAGGTCCTGGGTTCGAAACCCAGTGGGTGCGTACTGCCGATGATTCCCAAACTGGGATGAAACAGCAGCTGTCCAGTACTCCCTGGTTTTCAATGGTTCTCTAACTGATATCAATCCGTGATCAACTCGTAAAACATAACTAATCCTTACAAACCAAAACTATAGAAAGACTTTATAATTGATATAATTATAAACAACCCCGTTGAGATACACGCCCCTAAGCGAGGCTTTTATTGAGATTAATACAAACAAGATCGATGCCCATCAATTTTCACACTATTTACTACTTTAATGATGAGCTTATTTAAATATACATGAAGAAAGTAGCAAATTTAAATTCCTAACGACTTTGGTCACTAGTAGCCCATCATTATTTGTTTGTTGTAACACCACAGTAAAGAAAGAAGTTATGGAATGCTAATATCCAGATGTTAGATCTGTGCAGATTTTATCAATTTCAAGGTGAGTTTTGCCAAAAACCAACACCAGTTGTAGAACTACTGGGAATTGAGAAACAACAGGATAGCTGTTGTTTTATTTTGAGACCCTTGAGCAGCTTACACTTGCAACTGAAACATGAATTAAGCCCAGAGGAGGTAAAGACGTCTCCATCCGGTATAGGTCTAAAAGTTTGCACTGACTGGATTGTCTAAAAATCTAATAACATAGGGCACAGAAGTGTTACTTCAGTCACACTAGTAACCAAACTGAACACCTGGTTTTGATAAACAAGGTTAAGACTGGACAGCTACGCGGTTACCGCTTCGAGACTGATTCACATACATGCAGTACTACTTGGGGTAAGTCGTGGTCCAAGTAGCGTAGAGATAAAATTCTCTCCGATAATCAATGACGAATACTCGAATAATAGGAATAATATGAATTCGCTGAAGGCTGCAGACACATATGAGAGATAAAAATCATAAAAACCTATAACTAAAAGTCTCTGTTGACCAAATTCTTACATCCCAAAAGTATTTATTCTACAGTATGTGTAACAGACAGAGAAGTGAGAAGCACAGCTATAATTAGTAAAAAAAACGTCTTATTTACACCGCTGAAAATCGCCTTAAATTTTAGAGTAAAATCATAAAGAATCAAACGATAGATTGAACTAACATTGATATTTAATCCACGAAGTCCACGCGCCCGAATAGTTTCAATAAATTCAGATACGCTTAAGTGACCATCACCATCAATATCAAACAGAGTGAAAATTGTATCCAGTACAACTGGGCTGAGATACATCCCAGTAACGGCATGTGCTGCTCTCTGAAACTCATCTGGAATAATAAGTGAAAAATAAAATTTATACAGATGAAAATATTTGTGCTTTCCTAAGAATATTGTAAAGACCTAAACGAATGAATGTCTGGTATACTCGTAAGACTGAAAAAATCTTTGGTTTATCCTAAACAGAAGGAATAAAAGTTATCATTTCTAGTCCAAAATCTAAATTATACATAAAGCCTAACAATCGGTCACTGTGATGAAGTGAAGTGGGAAAAATGCAACTCAATATTACAGAGGACCCCTTAAGTATGAAAGTACCTAAGATACACTATAGAAGGCTTATTTAATTCACTTTCAATATTTCTCTCTAGTAATCCATAAGCGTTTCACGCATCGAATCCTGGCAAAGTCAGTTCAAAAAACCTTTCAAAGTACGAAACTAAGAGTCATATATATATATATATATATATATATATATATATATATATATATATATACGAGTATGCAGATTCAGGAGTGTATTGACATTAGTCTGATTAATAATTCATTCATTTAGACAGTAAATTCAGATACCACACTCAATATGACTCCAAAAAGACGTTCTCACTTTGGTTTCAGCTGTTAACAAGACTGAAAGAGTTGTCTGAGCCTACAGACTCCCCATTGAAGCAGTATGGGGGCTTGAAACAATAGAAATAAATATCTAAGGATACAAAATAAGTATATTTTATCTACTTTTTTTATTACAGCTTGATTCCACACTGTATTTTTGGTACAAGTATGGAATTTTCAGCGTGGATACCGGTAGCCCTAATTTCACAGGCCAACCATAGATATCAGTTGTGCGTCGGCGTGGGCTCGAACCCCGGACCATATGCATGGTCGGCGAGAGTCCTAACCACTGTGCCACCGACGCACCATTGTTGTGTTCAAGGAGGTATCTAATTGGGGTTCTCGAAATATTCATTTTCATACTGAATCTCAGAAAATTCTATCATTGCAGTTTCCAAACTCAAGACAGGTGCGCGCAATGAGACCGATGGATGATTATAGTCAAAGGGTTAAGATCCAAACAAAACTTTATACAAGGAAGATAATCTATCCAACTAACCCTTAGAAATGGAATGCTTTGAAATCAAAAACATTCGTATCGCACAGGTGAAATCATCCAGAACGAATAAGAAATCGAACAAGGCTTTGTAATCGTCAAACGAAACTTCCTACAAAATAGTATCTACAATACTTTTCATACCTTTTGCATTAATTCACGATCCGCTTGTATCTTTAACAAACCTTTTTGAGCATTATCGGCGCTAATGTTTGAATATCGCAAGAGTGAACGACCTAGGTCGACTGGAGACATAACACCTTGGTTCAAATTGAGTTGTTCAAACTCATAATGTAAAAGTTCAGATTGAAGACCTGAGATAAACCTAAGAGACTTTAAACAGATAATTAATAGATTACTTGTAAAATTCATCCCGATGCAGCTTTCTTTTACCCGACTTGCCAAAAAACAGATGCAGTAAAGTTGTATCGTCAACATTTGTTGACTGAAGTATTAGGAGTAGATACAACTTACAACATTTTGACATTGATGATCACCCATGTAGAATTTAGGAATAATTTTGGTTATCTGGAAAAATGATGAGCGAAAAACAAATTACCTTTTTAAATTCATCAAGATCAACACTCCCATCTGAATCCAAGTCAAACATGCGAAAAGCTATTTCTAATCCACTTTGAGGATCTGAAGTTTAACAGTATATTCGGAGCTTACGCGTAAGAACTGATATAAGAAAAAGATAGTCACTGTATGATATTACACCATTAGGACCTAGTTCTCGAAGAAAACCATAACTAAAATCAACTTTTGACGACTTATGCAGTATTTCTTTGATATCACTAGATGACAAATTGGTTCGGTGAACAGGCACTGCGAGCTGTAAATGAAACACAGAACACTTACCGGTTGCAGCTGGAGATAAGAAACATTTCACGAAGTCTCTCGGAGTCATATAAGCTTCATCATTATACTGTAGGGAAGCAAATTTCATAAACCTTTGGTGATAGTGTTTCTGATGCCCAGTAAAGAGAATGTATTTCAGAACCCACCTCAGTATTATGAGAAACATCTGAAAATAATGACGACTTTTCTTTATGCAGATTATTGTAATCCGACCCTGTTACCCAAGAAAAACTACAAACCAGCACGACAGTGGGTTTTATAAACCGTTTGTGTCGAAATGAAGAAAATAACATATCGGAGAATCGAGTGAACCACATTGGCAGAAACAATTACAGCAGGATGAATCTCGGATGTTAACTGTAGAAGTTTCTGTATCGAACTTTGAGTAGATTCAGCAATCACTTTCAACTATAGAGAAAACAGAAAGTAGAAGTAGAAAGTACAGTGTACTAAGATCGATCACACATCACGCTTCATGAAGAACTAAACAAACATACTAAAGCTGATAACACTTGAATTTAAAATACCTCTTAGTTATTAGTACATAGACATTATTAACCCCTATTATTTATTATCAAACACAACCAACAAAAGGACGCAGTTAGCTACAGCAGATGATAATGTGGGACGGTTTCAAGTAAAACTATCGGTGTAAACATGAAAAATTGCTATAAATACGTATGTTGCCCTTGGGACCTATCCAAACATTGACCAGAAAATTAACTCTATTTGAAATGGTCACTTGTAATCAAATGTCATAAAGTTTAACCGATTTATTAAGTAGTCTCGAAAGAAAACAAGAAAAATAAAAACTAGTCAACTACCCACTATTTCTCCGACGAGGGATCTGCCATAACCTACATAAATATTTATGCGCATTTTGTCAGTGACAATAGGCAATCAGTAACGGAACGCAAATTTCCAATATTTAATGGCTAGCAGCCATAAACAAAAAGAAATAATAAAACTTTTGAGGGTAACGTAAGATCCTATTCCACTTGTGTTGTGATTCTATCTGTAATAACAACAATCTACTAGTTTTAAATGAAGTCACAGAAACTGATGTTTAGCCACAGACAGTAACTCCCAACACGTACTGAGTTGCTGGCTTGGGGGCAGATGAGTGATCGCTTTGCTTTCGTGCCTACAGGTCCTATGATGCTAGAAAGGACAACTGAATAGCGGTTAGACTGAAAGCAGTTACCATCATAGCGTAAGTTACTTACACTACGGTGGGGATATGAAAGCCACACAGTACTGCTAGTAGAGAGGTGTAACAATGGTACGGCGTATCTCTTGACGAACCAGTAGGTTCTCTAAATTTCGGGAGGGTGATATAGAAAAGGGAAGCCTTAAAAACCGTACGTTTCGGCTTACTCCACAGTGGTTTGTACCGACGGTTACGTTTCCCGTACGAATGAAACTTCACACAGGTCGGCTGTTATATAACCTATTGGCTTGCAAAGTCGAGTTTCGGCTAATGGGTGTCAGGTTCAAACATAAAGGCATACAACGTCTCACCGAGAGATCGCCAATATCAAGCTAACAATGGACACAAATAAACCATTTTATCATGTTAACGATGAGACTGCGACCCATTCTAGAGCAGCTATCCGGACTCTCATAGTACATCACTCTGTACGATAAAACCGCTACTCAGAAAATAACGGCTGTGAAACCCTTACGTATCTAGCCCCCTAGGTAGGAGGAAACAATGCATATATGTGAAGGCAACAGTAACCCTGAAATAGCCTGCTGCCACATCCAATCAGTCACAGAAATCAAGTGAAGACAGTTGAGAACCTGAAGTGAAAGTTTAGTAAATGTCAGTAGATTCGTACAGTATCATTTGAAGTGACTGAGGCAAATGAATTTGATCTGGAGGGTTCCAAACATGGAGTGAAAGCTGAGTAAAAGTCTTCGCCACTACCCTAACACATTGGTGGCTTACGACAGAAATAGGCAACTGGCATCAATTGATTAGGCTTATTAGAGGAAAGGGTTCTATAAAACCCATAATAAGTGAAGTAATATCCACTGAGAATAGAAATACCCAAGAGTGACGGATAGAACGTCGGGCAAAATATGTGGGGAGTAGTTTGACTGACTTACAGCTTTATAACAGTTATTCTACCATCTCCAGCCCAAATGGGATATGGACATCAGTTTTCCAACTGTAACGGAAGTTGCAATAGCTGCTTGTAATTTAAAATGACACGGTAGTAGGGCCTGATGTTTAGGGATGGTGGTGACTATTTATTGACTAGATTATCTAAGATGTTAGCCAGAGGATGTAGGATTCCGAAACAGCTTCACCGACTTGGTGAAAATCGTATATCCCCCTAGTTTAGAAAAATCTTGTGAGAATCACAGGAAGATCTACTTGATTAAAATGGTATATGAGGTGACGTTAGCCAAAGCTTTACCACATCAACAGATCCTGGAACATAATCATACATACTATGGCCCAAAACTTACATTTGACCTCATCGACAGACATATTAGAAAAAGTGTAATTTAGAAGAAAATACCGAGAAAGTTAACAGTTTTGGAGGTTACGCAATCATTTGAGTCCTTCTAGAGTTTTGTTATCCATAATGACAACAGTTAGTAGAAGAGTCCGAAAAGAGCACCCATAGCCACTGGTTCTGTTTTATTCTACTACAGATGTCTGATCAAGTTCGATGTCTCAGGAATCAAAATGCCATTATAGAAAGGTCCTGTTGAAAATGTGACTTATTGGCTTGAGCACTTGACACTCAGCTGGTGAGTTACCTATGTCAGCCTTAGCAGCTGGATAGTATCACCAGCTATCACACGATAAATGCAGCTGTTAGCCTGCTACATCGAAATTCCTGTAATTAAATCTTAAATATCAGGTTTAAAGCATGCAAATGATACAGTTCTTTAAGATCAAAACGCTGAAAATGTTGCCTTTAAACGACTTAAGCTAAACTATTTACGTTTGGAGTACTATATAAAACGTATGATGATGCTATATAACCGGTTTGCATCAATTACTATTTTAAGGAAGGCGAGTGAAAAGGTTGAATGTCTATTTATAAGTAACTTTAAGAAAACATTTGACAAAAACAACATGGTTTAGTATGTTTGTAGTTCCCTTCTCTTAAATGGGAACATCAGAAACCAACGGACCACAGACCGTTTTCTCTGCTTTCGAATGGAAAAGTTGCATGAGAATATATTAAGATTCTTAACATCGCCGAGGTAACGCGAAGGATGCTTTGGTTGATAATTTATAGAACCAATGAATAAATCACTACATCTATCACAGAAACAAAGTTTTCTAAGTAAACTGATCTTAATACGAGTGTCCTACAATAAATATACGCAGGTACCAATAACCCTGAAGTTCAAGTAAAAGTATAACTGAAGGATGTTGGGGATTCTGACGGTGCACATGTTCAGCAAAATGGCTACATATAGAGACTGTGGACCATGCACTCTACATAAATTAACACCACTCGGGGATTAAGCATTCCTTTATTTTAACTTCAGCGAGAACAAAGGGAATGAAATGGTGAGCTGCAGCTCAACAATGGGAACCTGGTCAGAAACGACATGCATCAATCACTCCAATTGACTATGGAATGCATTATGCAGTAATACCGACTTTTATCACGAATAGACCTCACTAATAAACTTTATTGGTGACTCTAAAGAATAGCGGCCCAAATCGAAACGACCTTCGAACAGAAAAGTGACCTTGAGCAAGGAATCAGCTGACTGTATCATTTGCGGAAGTAATCATGGATGTTTTCAATTACTGTTTGGATAACGGACTGATAGCTTTGTCGAAAATTTGCCAATGCGGAGTTATGCATATACAAAAATACACAGAGGCCATTGATGGCTTTGTATACAGACGTATTGAGTGCCGAAAGAGGAAATCGGTTCGAGAAGGTTTGTCGTTGTTTTTTAATTTACAGATCCCTTAGGAACTTTTCTCTCAAGGTCTAAACTACCTTTGACGAAAATTTTAATGATCTGTAACTTCTGGGTCCTGAAAAGAGCAGTCACAGCTACAGCTTATGAAACAGACAATTCAGAGGTGTCAGCAGTGCAATGGTACAATCACTGCAGAGATGTTTCCTCCTGGAAAATGAACACTGACTCAAGTTCTCGGAGAAGTCGGCAGCATAGTCCATATTGATGAGACTGTACTTATAAAAAGGAAATACAACCGCGGGAGATACAAGCAAACCAGCAGTGGATACTAGGTATCTACGACACGACACTGCGCAAAGTATATATAGAAGCGATTCCCAATCGCAGTGCAGCAGTATTAGTGCCTATTAATAAGCGTTTGGTGTTGCTGGGGACGACTATTCATACAGATGAATGGAGCGGATACCGTCAATAATCGAATCATGGGTACATTCATCATGTTGTTAATCATACGGACGGTTTCCGGAATCCTTTGGATGGAACCCACACCAGTTCAATTGAAAGTGGTTGGAGTCGTCTAAAACGACGTATAAGAGCGGTTAATGGATCGAGAAATCCCATGATTTACAGTTACCTGGATGAATTTATGTACCAAAACTGGTTTCATATGACTATGAAGACTCCCATGAGAAACTGGGAGGTTTTCTGGAACATATACGCGAACACCATCCTTTGTAACTGTTTATTATGATTGCACTACTTTTATATAAACCGTTTTTTACAATTATGCGCCTTTCTTTTTGAGCCTTCTCATTGGCCGAAGTTGTCCCTGTCAAGGTCATTTTTGCGTTAAAACGTCGTTTCGGTTTGGGCCGCTATTCTTTAGAGTCACCACTTTATTTTATAATTGGTATACTTCAATGAGTTGGTACTCAACACCCCATACTCTATAAACAACACAAATACTGCCCACTGACTTACTTTTAACTAGACCGCATACACATCTTACACACTTGTCTGCTTGGATGAGGCCGAATAAGTTTACTGGTTGTTGCACAATTATTGAAAAGTAGGCAATCGATCAACGACCTAGACCAACTGAAATTCCCGCAGTTATTCAATATCCAATATCGTTTTTACGAGCTAGTATAAACCAATTTGATTTCTTTGTGCTCGCTTCTTGATTGTGAGGTATAGGTTCTTGATCTTCGGTAAACTTCTGCGTAGCTTGTCCCGCCACTCGACTGTCGTAGCTTTGGTTGACTCCAAAGGGAGTAGTGCTGGGATTAATTATATGTGGTTTGTAGTATGAGGTATGTTAAGACTGTTACTACTGTGATTGGAGTTGATCCTTTCGCCAGTTAGTCCTTCGGTATTGTCGACAAGAGAAAAGAGATAGTAATAATAATAATAGTAATAATAATAATAGATATAATTAGTGAAGCTATTCAGACTAAGAGACAGAAACGAAAATAGGAAACGTAACAACAGTCAGCTCATTAAGTTTGAAGAATAATATATATATCGGTAATAGTAATAATAATAATAATAGTAATTATAATATTAATAAGTTGTCAGGAGAGTAAGACGGGAGAGAATGTAAAGAAGTAAAACGACGAGTTTAATTATCTACCCTGATTGGTAAATGCGATTTTAAGGAGATAGGCCATTTGGATGCAGTCCTTGTATCGCTGCATGGTTGTCCAGCCTTCGCTTAAAGGCGTCCAAAGACGGTGCCATAGCTACATCTGCCGGTAAGGAATTCCAGGGACGACAAACCCGCAGTGAAAAGAAGTGGGAGCGCACCCGGGTCCTTGCCCTCTGGTGAGCTATCCTTCTGGGATTTCCACGTGGAAGCCTATACCTACTCAATGGCAGAACACCTTTGTTTGGGTGATTCTGGTCATTTGTTATTTTGTAGGCAGTAATCAAATCCCCCCTAAGCCGACGGTAACTAAGTGTGAACAGGCCTAATTTCTTCAGCCTTTCATCATATGGTTTGTTTCGGAGACCAACCACTCCTTTTGTTGCCCGTCGTTGGACTCTTTCCAAGAGGTTGGCATCTCTTCTCAGCATTGGGGGTGCAATAATATTATGCACCTCAAGGTGTGGCCTGACGTATGTTTTGTACAACATTAGAAAGAGCTCAGGAGTGAGTGCACCTAACTGTCTATGCGTAAAGTGTATGACCGCATATGCCCTCGCTACATCCCCTGTGTAATTTACGCTTGTGTCCATTTTTTCCGTTAGAACTAGACCTAAGTCGCGTTCCGACGTTGTGCAGGACAAGCTTTCATTGCACAGGGTGTAACTTGCATTCTGCAGTCTACAGGTGCGCAACTTCACTACTTTGCACTTTTTCAAGTTGAAAGTCATGCCACTGGCCACCGCCCAGTCTTCCAGAAGGTTTAGGTCTTCCTGTAGCCTATCTGAGTCCTCCGGACACTTTATCGCCCTCCATATTTTTACGTCGTCAGCGTACAGGAGAGTCGGGCAGCTCAGACGGCGTGGTAGATCATTGATGAAAATCAAAAACATCAGTGGTCCTAGGATAGAACCCTGCGACACTCCTGATGACGATCTGTGCCAAGATGATCGGACTCGGTTAACCTTAGTGCAAAATTGCCTGTCGGCTAGGTAGTCCTTCAACCATGACAGAAGTGGCTCACCTATGCCTGCCTGGCTTATTTTATGTAGGAGAAGGTCATGGTGAACAGTGTCAAATGCCTTCTCAAAGTCTAGGAAGACCACATGGACTGGTACGTTCAAGTCCCAGCATGATGTCCAGTCTTATATTTGGTCCAACTCCAGATTTTTTCAAAATCAGATTTTTGGTTGACTGCAGACCTAGTTTCTGTCTTTTCTCTAATAAGTATCTGTTTTTGTCTTGCACTTTCTTGAAAGACTTCGTTTAGGGTGAAGATACCACACTTTTGGAATTCGCTACTGTAGCAGTAAATAATTCCCCAAAACGATTGACCTCAGCAATCATCACTGAACAATGGATGCTGACCCTCACTTTTTAAGTCGACTTGTTTAGCTGAAAGCCTCTGGTCAAGCATCCATGCCATTTGGTACTCCGTCGTGTCACGTATGTTCACGATCACTAGCCAGTTTAGCAATCAACTAGCAATCCGTTTAAGTTCCGAAATATATCTCGTAATTTGGACAACCAATTCACTTGTTTTGCTTTTCCTTCGGTCCACGAGAAACGAATACTATAGAAGTTGTTGGTATAAGGTCTTAGGTTAGTATACTCCATACAATTCGCGAACGTCAATAACGTCAGCCTCTAAACTTCCAAAGGCTGATGACTTGGTGGGATAACCAACACCTCTTTGCTTTGGGAATCTCCTGCTATGACCACTGATATAGGTGGAAACAGATCAGAACAACAGTGATTTCTTAACGTACTGAAAATGGTGATTAGACCCCTTCCCTACCAACCATGTGATAAGAGAGATTGTAGCTGATAAATCTTTCCTCATGTAACATGTTTGTTACCCAAGGAAACATACGTATGGCTTTTCTTTGGTCATTTTTACATAAGTGATTACTACTAAGAAATCGCAAGACTACTTAAATTCAAATATCTTGTTTCAACCGCACCAGAGATGCAAGTAAAGTGTTGGACATCCAAAGTATGTGGGTGTTGACTTTCATTGGTCGTACCATGATAACTAGGGTAAGATCGAATGCCAAAATCTTCTAAATTATTCGTTCCGCGCGAACCAAAGACAAATTAGAAACACTATATTGATTGTCCAAAATACGAAAAATATTTCGGGACCGAAACCACAGTGTGAGGATAATTTCTCAACCAGCTTGTGATCCTACATGAACAAGCGAACGTAACACGACAGTGTTCCGAATGGAGTTGATGCTTAGTCAAAGCATTCACATAAGCAGGTCCACTTAAAAAGTGAAGGTCAGCGACCAGTACCATGTGGTAAATGCTGTGGCTAATAACTCTGGAGAACTAGAGTGACTTTATTGCATCTCCTCACTAACGGTAACGTTGTAATCCGTTGCTGTGTCGATTTAGTAACATGTTATAATTTCATATGCATTTTAAATTAAACTTCACATAAGGAACTTTTCTAACGTACATAACATCGGCAGCAGAATGTTTTAAACTCAGTTAAATTTACTGCACTTATATCAGGAGATGTTGCTTAATAGTGGTATCTGTGCGTTGGGATGTATAAAATAAGGAAGTTCAAAATTTAAAAGTTAATTCTCAAATTTTTACGGAATAGCACTGGTGTATTTGGCCTATCTAATAAAAGGCTATCGTCCTAAATAGAACCATTTAGCATTTTCTTCAGGCGAACTGCAGAACGTGGGACGATGACCCAAAGTCTGTCACAAACATTCTGAGCCCCAAGCCTGCCACAAAGTTCTGCTGTGCGCCCGAAGTCTGATTCAAAGTTTCGCAGTGTACCCAAACTCAATGCAAGCTTCCGTAGTTTCTGGTATCTACAGCTCAATTTCAGCATTAATTTCAGTACTCGTTTATTCATCACAGTCCGCTTTTCATTCTGAGACACAGAGCACGAGCACCATGGGTACAGTATGTGACATTGCTGTAAACTTGTTTTTCAGTTGAAAAACATTCAAGTGGGCTTTATTTCGTGGGAAGATTTAAATGCTAAATATTCCGATTTCTTGGACATAACTAAAGGATCTTACGAGGAAGAACATTATTTGCTTGACTGAAATAAGGACAAGTTGTTCAGCAGGTAAGGAATACTTTATGAGTCTGTTCGAATAAATACTACTGCGCATCGGGTTGATCTGCAATTCCACCTGAAACAAAAGATCATGGATGCCTTGCCCCCCATTCTGCATAAGAAAGTGGATAACACAGGAATCACTCCACAAGACCCTCCATTTTTAGTTCAGTGAGGACCAAAATACGTTTTTCCAATTCGGTGGTATAAGAAAGAAATAACGAAATGCGTATTCTCCTGTTGTAGTACATTTGGTATGAATACATCAAAGTGAAACCAAAAGTATATATGTTTCGCTAAATCTTATGCACTTCTTGCATAGACTTGATGCAGTTAAAGTGATCATTTTACAATTATTGAATGTCGAAATCAAGCTGGAGTTTTAACATGTAACTCCGAGAATTATTGTCATTTTCATTGGCAGCAGTTCACAAGCTGTTGAATTTATACGACCTTAGTGCTCATTTCTCAAATTCCTGAGGGAATATTGACCAGAGAGTACGTCATTTTATGAATTACATGAATCCTACAGATTGGATTCTGTTGACTTAGTAATGAAGGATGTGGTACAAGGCTCATTTCTACAAGCGTCATCTAAATTTTAGTTCAATTTTCATCGTATATGTATTAATAGAATTGTCTGTCATTGACTTTAGGGACTTCTCAGGGAACAGTCTCGTCAACTGATGATATGGTCCACCTAGGTTGCGAGAAGTAACCATTGAATTTGGGAGATATGAAAATAGCACTGGTGTTTGATCGTAGGCGTCTGTGCCGTGTCTCCTGTGTTAAGTAGTTTCCTATGGTGAATAATACTGGTATTGGACGTCCAATGTTAGGTAGAGATATGACTTCTTATCTCTGTTAATGGCATCTATTCATTCACTTTGTGTAATGAACCCTTATTTTTTACTCTTATTGCTGTCCGTTATCCCTCACATTTATGCTCATTAGAGTACGGTCAAAATTTTTCTTTACCTTTGTGTGCTACATGGAATGTGGTTACTTGAACAGATGCACTTGTGTGCAAGCTTCTATGTTGCAAGTCAGTCAGAATGGCATATATTTTAGGTATATAGAAATGCCTAAAAGTGGATAATAATCACCGAAATGTCAGGAATATAACTGCATCTTCTAACCAGGTTCTTGTCTAGCTGGAAAAAGGGGTTATCTTACAATAAGTTCCCCTGCTACCCGAGATAAGCTTCACATTTTGTCTCTTCATATAGCATGAGGTAGTTTATTTTATCCCATAGCCTAAATGCTAAGTCAAAACACATCTCATTACATTTCTTGGCTTATTACCAGCTAAATACTACGTTTTTCAAATATGTGATGAAACAAGTCGAACTGCCTCACGCCTATGTTGGGTCCTATGTCAAGTCTCAG